GCGATGGATGTGAACTTTACGAGTTGAGGCAGGACCGTTAGTTGTGGAATAAAAATATTTGATTTTGGTACAAATATATATTGGATATTTGGAGTCGAATTGAATTTGCATACTAGTGGTGTATGCATGGCATTGTACATTGAAGCAATTTTTGCTGGAACTTATGTACCGTAATTAAACATTCAGACACAAAAGAAACATGAAAAATAAAAATTGATCAATAATTAACAACTAAACAACAAAACAAGCACACAAAAAATAAAGAAAAAAAAAAAAAAAATACAAAATAATAAAATAATAATAAAATTGATCAATAATTAACAAGTAATAACAAAAACAGCACACAAGTATAGAAACAAGCTAATCAGTCACCCACATTTATTAGCAAACTCATTGATAACAGAGAACTATCCAAGAAGATTGAAAAGAAAAGCGCCACTGGATTTAAGCCATCAACTCTCCTAATAAAAAATGGAAATAACTTAATCATTATTTATAAGAAATTATTCCATAAGTAAATAGTTAAAATTATATAATTATCAATAAAATATTGTGAATTTTATATCGAATGGAAAAACAACTACTGAGTTGTTTTTTCCAACATACCCTTATAGTATACAATGTCCCTTTTCGGCCGACTATTGTAAATTCATCAAATTTATTGAATGTCCTTTACTGGACAGGTAAAAATTAACAACTATTGTTTTATAGATAATTTTTGAAAAATGTTTTTAAATTTTAAAATTATTTACAAAAATATGTTTCTGAAATTTATTCAAAATGACCAATGAACCTGACATTATTTTTATCAACTAATCATTTTCTTCACACTATCATCACAAGAAAAATATTTTTGAATCATTCTAATCGGTGCTCCGTTCTTTCATAAACTACTATTTCTTTGGCAGTTTTTGAGAGAACGAAGCATACGATTTGAATGATTCAAAAAACTTTTTGCCTGTGTTTACAAAACGATTGTTTGAAAAAAAATTATTCAAAAATAATAATTTCAAAAAATAAGTTATCATTCATAGCAAAAATCATTCGGATTTCAATTATAATTCTAACTTGAAATAAATAGTTTTAATTTTGCAATTCAGTTTATATAATGCTTAAAAATATTAGACAAGATTCTTTTTTATTCTAACTCTGCTTCGAAAGGGATCATTGAGTTTTTGTTATAAAAATTTTATATAATGTTATATAAATCTTATAAACTTATATAAATCTCTCATCGTCCAATTCATGTATATATTTTGTCTATGCAATACGAATAATAGTTTTTGAAATATTTAATATTTTTTGAAATTGTATTACAGTATGGAGGTTTCAGCAATTTGCCTTAAGGCACGATGCCATACACCACTAGTTGTTCTTTATCTTCGAAACGGTGGAATTGCCTTTGTTCAAAATCTAATCGGAACGTCCCTCATTAATACAAATCAAATGTTTTTTGAATGATTAAAATCGGTCAATCCGTGCCGTGCCCCCTAAATCGTAAACTGAAAATTGTATCCGAACATACATGCACACATATACACATATTTCTATTTTTCGTATAATAAGGTATAGCCAAGGTATTTTCAGAAACCTTCGAAACGTAAAGATATCCAAAAATTTTCTTGTACGATCTTTTTGCGATTACTTTAACTCACAGAAAGTATGAAATCATGAATAATTTTCAAATTCCATTTGTAACTTCTATAATACATTACTAAAATATCAACATATTGATCACCCTCCACAATAAAAAAAATACAATACTCACTAAAAATATCTGTAATATTGAATCGAATGTTTATATTTCTATTAAAGTCTGCATAACTATTATTTTATTACTTAATATGAAATTTATTTTTGTCATTTAAAAAAATCATGGTCAATGTATTATACAGTTTATAAGAAATCTCAGTAACTCGTAGCAATCAACTTTATCTCTAATCATATGCTCATAGTTTACATTATATGCCTCTTTAACTTTCATTTGTTTTTCAACATTTATCTACAACCAGCAATAAAGTAATAATTACAGATTAGTCGAATCAAGAGTGTTTTATACCACTTTCTAAATCAGAACAAAGAAAATTGTGCTTCAATTAATCTTTCTACACTTCGAAAATTATATTTGTTTGAGAATAATATATACTTGTGCTAATAATGGTAATACATGCGATTATTAAGATTATTTTTCCTGTAGAGGCGAATGCATATGTGCATTAACAATGCTTTCTCTTCAATTTGCCAAACGTGTCGAGTTACGATTGTATTTGTTGGAAAGTGCATTGACAAAATAGATAGTGAGAAATAATTACCAAGAAACATTAAATATATATATCTTATTTTGCAAGTACATAAGACTGATATTTAGACCTTGCTCTTTGTTATACAAAAATCAAGGAACGTTGAAGTAACTATCATGCAATAGAAAAATTGCAACAAAATGAATATGAGCCAAAAATAAATGAAAAACAAGTTTACCAAGATCTACAAAATCTATAAAATTATTTGTTTACTGGATTTATGTTCGTTCAGTGTAAATCGACTGTGAAGAATTCAAACGCATCAATTGACATAGTAACCTTCTACAAAATAAAGCCAATGCTTTCACTTTGATGGTCAACAAATTGCATTTCTGAACAACAACGTTAGAATATTTAAGATTTTTATTTAGATTAGATTTTGTACATGCAATGTGTGGAAAGTGAGCAATCTTATAATGCATTAATTATAATTAGCCCGATTGTAATCAATTTTTTTAAAATGGTTGCATGTTTACTTCTGACATATCAATTTTCTTTACTTCCATTTATGCAAAATATTGTCTTTAATATCTTATAACAATAAAAACAAACCCAAATTCTCAAAAAAATCAATGCAAGATTGAGAGCATGTACATGCTAATTTTGCCTGTGTTATTCACATTTCAAATCAATCAATCGATCAAAATTGAAATTAAAATCTGTTTTTATCAACCAAAATCGTATAGTCATAATGCAAGATACCACAGAAAACTCATCGTTTAAAACTCCACTAGTAACTTTAAGAATTATTTTTAATTTATAGTTTGATTAAATTTTCACCATAATATATAGGATATAATTCAATTATTTCAGTGTAGATCAATAATGTGGTTCACATTGTTAATCCAGTTTTAGATATACATCAATACATCTATGTATGTTAATGTTTTCATCAAATTGGTCTGGTGATTATATAACTTACAAGAGAAAATAATAAAGTTGCCTTCTCGTAATTCAACCGGTTGTGGAATGCGCATGCAATGTAATTTTTTGTATATAAATATAATGCATTATTTATTATTACAAGCAGATATAAACGCATTTTAAGAATTCATAAAATCGCGTTTGATGTTATATGGTTGTAACCATTTATAGTAAACAGTTATTTACCTACATAACTAAGAATTGAGAATTTATACAAATTATATAAATTGTACCGCGTTATATGGAGACCAATAAATTCGTAGTGTATGATGAATTATAAATTGTTATTAAAATTGTTATTAAAAGCTGAACTAAAACACTATTTTCCAACAAAAATTTTAACGTTCCCTGAAAACACTCTGCAGCTTTAAAACCTGTCGTACATAGCTATAATATAACTTGGCATGTCCATACAAACGTATTATAAAATATAAATAATTCGGAGGAATCAACGTAATAATTAATCTCTAAAATAAAAAAAATGCAATACTCACTTATCACATACAGTCATGGAGGCGTCCAAACGTTTACACTAACATAAAATGGCGTCTAAACAAACGTTAATACACTAATATAAAATGACGCCCGAACAAACGTTAATCACACTAACATAAAATGGCGCCCGAACAAACGTTAATCACACTGACTTAAAATGACGCCCAAACAAACGTTAAATACTCTAACATAAAATAGCGCCCGAGTTTTTTTTGACATACTCGTACACAAACATGAGGCTTGTCGACCCGTTGCGTTGGCGGGTCGACTCGCCTTTGTTATGATGCCTGCAAAACTCAGGCACCAACTGAACTGGACGGAGGAAATTTGCCATAATTTTGACTGACATAGACAAACAAAGGCGCATTGTATAGATAGGAAACTTCAGTTGGAAAACAAACCATCTGAACTTGTATCAAAATATCGATAGTATTTCCATAATTCTCGCACAATTGCCCTCTGTTGGGGTATTTGATTTTAATATCTAGATATAATATTTTAGCGACACTTTGACAATAGAGGTGGCGGTATTTCGTATGCAATTAAAAAGGGCGCGCAAATTAAAATGGCCGGTCAATGTTTTTATATGTGAATATTATTTAAATGTCATATTAATAAAGATGTATCGGCGACTTCTTTCGCATAAAATAAGTTAAAGGTTTTAGCATTTTTCTGGCAATGGCTATCTATTTTTAGCTTTTTGTATTAGCTTCACCAAAGATTTTTTTATATATAATATTCGCTGTACAATTTATTATATAGCCAATACAAAAACAATTTTCCATACTACGCGGGGCTGAAATTGAGATGGTCTTCCGATAACACTGTCATATTGAGATAGTTCTCAATAAATCACGAACAGCACTAAATTCAAATTTAGCTGAATGTAAAGATGGAAACGGTGGTAAAATTTTTCTTGCACATTAGGGCATTTGGTTACAATTTTTTTTACAAAGTCAGTACAATCATCAATCAGTTGATATTATGGTAACGTCTAACACTATTTAATTTTTTTTGTTAAAATAAATCTAATAATCAGGTTTTGTAAAATGTTTAACAGATATCACCTAAATGATCGAGTTAATTTTTAAATTAAATTTAGAAATTGCTTCCTCCCCTGTGAGATGTACGCCACGTACGGTGCATTGGAAAAATTTTAACAATAAATTTTAACTTCCCTGGTTAATTCAGTAGATTTATCGAGAAAATTACTCTTACGATGCTCGACGAGTTTATTAAATCACATAAACGGTTTAAAATATACGTATAATAGGCACTTACCTGGTACGGTTTCTCCATTAAATGTGATTCTGATGCTGTGTCTCATGACTTCGTGAGGTGTAAATGCTGCAAGAAATCTTTGATTGCCTAAAGGTTTCACAGACGATGTTACGCGTCCTCCATTAACAAGAATTTCAAGATTTCCAGAACCGGCACGGGATCCATCAACTAGTAAAAATATATTGTTAGAATAATTAGTTTTACCAGGATACTATATAATGTATATTGATCAATCAATAATGTATATTGATTTATTCTTAAATATGTATTATAATTACTTTCGAATTCCACCGGTTCGCCGACGACACCATCAGGTATTCTCTTGACTTTTACAGCCTTAGCTCCTCCTGATTGTGAGTCTAGTCTTGAAGATTCCATGGACAAAGAAGACTGGTGCGTCTGATTATAAGGACGGAATCGTGGATGTGCAGCATCAGTTTCGTGCACTGGAGAACCAAATCGAGGTGATGTTGTGCGCTCATATGTTTTTCTTTCATTTCGGACTAAGTTGCTGCTACTAGTCTGAAAATGATATAGATTTTTTTTACAAAGTTTTTCGTTAACAATTCGAGGAATTTTTTGTGGTCAATCAAAATTCTATATATATAAGATTTCTTCAATTCATGGGTCCAAGAGATCACAAATCTTTGTCGGGTTGAAGCAATTTTTATACGGTTTTATAAGTTAATATACTTACATATGTATCTGCAAAACTTTTCTTGGATACATAGTTCGAATTTTCTGTTTCATCCAAGTTCAGGCGCCTCATACGATAAGATTCATCATGCAGATCAGAATTCAACAAAGCCGAAGAACGAGTATTACTATTTATTCTAGTGTTGCGTTCTGTTTCCTCATTACGTGCAAAGCTTAAATCTGTATTTAGTTGACTTTCTGCCAAGTTTGCGAGAGATTCCAAGCTGTAAAAGAATTCGAATTGTAATACGTTAAAAAGGTCATATAGAAATATTTATTCACTGAAAAATATTTGAAGTAAAAGATACACAAATGATAGATTTCAAATATAAGGATCTGTATACTGTTCTTTTATGTATTCAACAATATTAAAATACATCTCTAATTTTCCCAAAAGACAAGTGTATAGTTTTAATTACAGTCTGTATTTTTATCATTTTATTCATAACACAATTATATTTCTCTTTTTATACATATGTCTTAATCTTATGAGCTGATATTTACCTATTATGTGATAATAAATGTTTAGTTTTGGCGATTGCATCCCAACTGTCCCTGCGTGATGGTCCATTTGTCAATGAAGACACACGTACGTTAGAGCTATGATCAATTTTACCACGCTCAAATTCTGAAGAATTAAGAAAATGAATTAAAATTCCAAAACTGTATTAAATATGTACCTGAAAATGTAGGAGAAGTGCTTCTCAATCTGCTACTGCTTCCAGTTTCTCCATAATGCGATTTATAATTGGACGAACTCTGCTTAGAGGAACTACTGATTTTTACTACTGTTGGGCTTTCAGATCTGTAACCAGAAGGACTGTAAGTAAACATTCTCGGACTCGAAGTTGTATTTCTCGGACTCGATGTGAGATTCCTTGGACTTGATGTGACATTTCTAGGACTCGATGTAACGTTTCTTGGGCTAGAAGATACATTGCGAGGACTGGACGTGATGTTACGGGGACTGGATGTCCTATTTGTAGTAGATTCCCAGTGCGAACTTGATGTCATGCTTGAGCTAAATGATTTACCTTGGTAAACTGGACTGCTTCTATTAAGATTGTAAATACTTCTGTTAAATTTAAATTACACTTAACAAAATAAAACAGAAAATGCTGAAGTACCTTGTTTCATATGTAGGTCTTGAAGATCCTAAAACATCATGTGAAGATTTTTGTGTATTGGAACTGCTTGTATATTTGGAGGTACTAGTAAATGCAGATTTATCTCGTGAAAGGCTGGAAATGTGATCTGTCTCGTCGTATCCATAAGAAGGACTTTCAGAACGACGCTTAACAGTAACTGTAATGAGATTTTGCAATATTTAGTATAAGTTATTTTATTAATGATTTAATCAAGTAACAATAAGTAATAAAGCATAAAAATATTCACTGATTATTATTAACTTCCCGTAGGGTAAGTTATTGTAATGGGCCGAAAATCGGAATTGAAAATTTTAACATTTCTCGACGTTTTGAAGGTTTTTGAACGTTTTGGCATACCTCAGAAAAAATGGATATGTGTGTGTGTGTGTGTGTGTGTGTGTGTGTGTGTGTGTGTGTGTGTGTATGTATGTATGGATACAAATTTCCAGTCACGGTTTAGGGCGCACGGATCAACCGATTTGAATGGTTCAAAAAACATTCGATTCCTATTGATAGGGAAAAGAGCTGATTAGTTTTTGGCAAAGGCAGGTCCAGCCGTTTCGGAGATACGGAGCAAAGAGTGCAGAAAATAGAAATCGAATTTTTGAGAGAACGGAGTATCTGATTTGAATGATCTAAAAAGCATTCAATTAGTAATGATTGGGAGAAGTGCTTATTAGTTTTTGGCAAAGGCAGGCCCAGCCATTTCGAAGATATGGAGCTAAATATGTAAAAAATGGCAGTTTTTGAGAGAACTAAGCGTCCGATTTAAATGATTCAAAGAACTTTCTGCTTGTCTTAACAAAATAATTGATTTTGGAAAAAAAAATTTTGTTCAATTTTTTTTTTTTTTTTTTTTTTTTTTTTTTTTTTTAGTTTTATCAAAAATATTTCAGATTTTATTTTTAATTCTGGCTATAGTTCTAATATACTTTACAAATATTTTCAACTCTGCAATTCAGTTTATATAATTCTCATAAATATTAGACAATGTTACAATATTTATAATAATCTATTTGAAAACATTCAGTATTCCTCGAACATTTCGGTACGGGAAGTTCCAGCAATTTGCCTTAAGGCACGATGCCATAAATGCCTCAAGACAGAATTCCACTTACAGCTAGTTTATTATTTAGTTCTAATTACCAGTTACAGGACTAGCCGTTTTCAATGGAATTGGACTTTCTCTAAGCCTGTAGTTATAAACAGGGCTCTCCCTTTTGGAATGAACAGGGCTTTCTCTATTGCGAGAATTTACAGGACTCTCACGACTTTTGTAATTTACTGGACTCTCTCTGTTTCTAGAATTAACTGGCGAATCTGATGATTTTCTGCCTTTTTGTGTTCCAACACGCATGATGAAAGGTGAACCTTTGACATCATAACCATTGAAGTAGACATAAATCTATAATGATTAGAAATAAAAATCAAAGTATGTTCTAATTTTTTTATGTTATAGTGACGTAGTTACCCTTAGCCATGTGATGGTACAATTTTCAAAAATACATTTATTATTTACATCCATGAGGATTGTTTAAACAAAAATTCAGCACTTCTAATGTTGTCTTAATTTTTTTGAGATAGACCACTAGGCAACAAAATGCAAAATATAGAATTTAGTGTCTTGAAATTTGTTTTATTATAAATGTACTGTCCGTTAAAACTAGACCAAATTACGGTTGGAGAAAATATGTCTAATATTATTTTACCCTAGTCTATAATCATTTACCCTGTGTTTTCCATTCTGCTTAGGTACAAAAGTGACTCGATGTCTCCATCGGTCCAGCTTTTCGACTGCACAAAGCAATGATCTTTTATCATGGACTACATCGACATGAACTTCTGCTCCGGGCGCTCCGGTTTCACGGGTGTCCACATCGAAACTGTGGGCACGGCCTGCGACCGCACCTTCGACTCCGGACACTGAAACGCCTCGAGGGTCAAATACTGAACATGTGAAAGGACCACCCTGAAATAAAAGTACATAATTATATAAAAATAATAATAAACTACAACCACAATCAAAACTATAAAACATTAAAGTTGAAGACTTTGCCTGAATGCCTGCGTTTACATTTATGATTTATAATATAACTATAATTAGTAAGCAACTTTCTATCAATTTCCAATAAATACTTTTCCGTACTTGAATATGTTTTCCCTGATAGGTGATAGCAATTTCCCAGGTTCCAGCTTCATCAGGTTTGAATATAGCACTGTTAGTTCCATCTATAGATTTTAGAGGGCATTCCAAAGCTCTACCATTTGGACTGTATGCTGTTACCAGAATATCTTCTTTTTTAGGGGCACCTGAATAAAAACGGTTAATGTTGCAAAATGTTAAGCTGCATAATTAAATACACTCTGATTTGGTTTTAATTATATCGCATGTGATTTTCTGATGACTAAATAATATTAGTAGTTACCAGTAGCACTGACTAGAACTTCAACTAAACTGCCCAAAGCACAAGGAGCCATGCCTGGGGGTAAAACTTTGACATGACGGGGTAGAACTCTGAAGAAGTAGCCATCCAATCTGAAATAAATTATATTATGATGTGAAAAATTTAGTACTGATAGATGCCTTTATTTGTAAATTTTTAATTCTGGAATTTATTGAAATTTTTGTAAGAATCTAATGCCATTATGGCTAGAGTCCCAACATAATTTTGTGAAAATATAGAAAGAATCTTTCTCTTATATGTTATGCTCAAAATAGTTGAAATATAAAGTAACTAATTACTAAATTACCTATCTTCGTTCACATCCAAAACAATTTCATGCATTCCCATTCTGTCTGGTATATAAGAACCTTCTCCTCGATGGAGTTTTACAGGCTGAGGAGCTCCACCAGCTGGAGGAATTATTGAAGCTCGAACCATGCTGTAGTCTAATTCTTTCGTAAGGAGTTCAACACGGAAATGGGTCTGTAATAAAATATACATGTACCAGTTAAGAATATTAACATAGTTATGCACGTTGAAAAGATTTTCAATAATTAAGGACCTATTGTCTTGGATTAGTCAAATGTATACGTTGGATAGATCTGAATATCTATTGCTAACATAATTTGATTAATTATATTTTGAATATAATATTATTATATTATACTCTACTATTAGATATCATAGATAATCTATCTATTATCTATCATACCGTAAGATACCTATATCACCAGTAATTTATTATATACCTACATATGTTTTACTTCCTTATAAATCTTAATTTCTATTATTTATATATTTACCTATATTATTCTCTCTACCTATCTATTGTCTATACTTATCGCTATATTTCATCATATACTCTCAATCCCTACATTATATACCGAATACACTTATATCTACTATATATCCTATTACCTACAATTTCTTTTACACGCTATTTTTACCCTTACCGGGAATTGAACCCGGGACTTCCGCGTGGCGGTTACGCACCTTAACCATTACCCTATCGGATATCCCCATCAATAATATAATATGGGATGCACTATTATTGTTACCGCGGTTCATTTTCTAATTAATAGTAATTAACACTAAGGTGTCGAACCGACACGCGAAAAAAGACGATTGATCGTAGTGTTACGGTGGTTTAGTGGTTAAGGTCGCTGCCTGTCACGCGGTGGACCGGGGTTCGATTCCCGGTAAGGGTAAAAATAGCGTGTAAGAGAAATTGTAGGTATAGGATATATAGTATAGATATAGGTGTATTCGGTATATAATGTAGTAGGGATTGAGAGTATACTATGAAATATAGCGTATGGTAGATGTAAGGCGTATAATATGGAATGCAATGTATAGGCATACGTAAGGCTATCAAAACACACGAATAGGAACTTATGATGTAGGTGTTATCCTATAAGGAATACAAAAGTTACATAAATTTAATTTGTAAATATTATTAACTTCCCGTAGGATAAGTTATAGTAATCGCGAAAAAATCGAAAATGAAAATTTTAATATATCTTTAGGTTTCAGAGGTTTCTGAAAATTTTGGCATACCTTAGAAAAAAATGAATGTATGTGTATGTGTATGTGTGCGTGTATGTGTATGTGTGCATGTGTGTGTATGTATGGTTCCGTACCAATGTTTATCAGTTAGACGGCGACGCGGCGCTTACGCGCTTCAATATTTCATCTCTATGCAGTTAATGCAGTACGATTTCTTTGAAAAAAAGTTCAGAATTTCCAAAATATTTTAAAATAAAGAAGCTTTTTTATCTAAAAAAATATATTTTTGTCAAAAATTTATGGTTTCTCAAAAATCTAATTTTGTCACAGTAAAATTTTTTCAAAAATGTTAATCTTTTTAAAAAAAATAATTTTTGGTACGGGAAGTTACAGCAGTTTGCCTTAAGGCACGATGCCATGTGCCTCACTAGTTATTTATTACAAATTGATTTTTCATATTTTTAGTACTTACTGTTTCCCCAACTCGACCGCTTGTTGATTCCAAATGTACGGCAATCATATCAGCCAGAGGTGGGCGAGGTTTCACCCATTGGAAATGCGCCGCATAAGCCATAACTCCTAAATGACCCACATCGGTCTTGGCCATATCGCGAACTGATAAAACCGGCTGCACTCCTATTTGCAAATTATCTCTATTCAAATTCTTGTTCAATTAAAGTTCTTTGTTAAGTGACACAAGCTTTTACAACTACATAGTAAACCAAAAAAAATAAATTGCAGGTAGGTATTTACTACTCGTATCTTACTATACTTTAGCTATCATACTTGTGTTTAAAATAATGGTGTTGTACAATACCATTAAAAATAGCATTGTGTAACAAATAGCTAATTAAGTAGCTAAACTTGATTAGTTATATAAATATATTAATATCTTAAAGAAACATTTTATAAATATTGTTAAGTCCGTTCGTCTCCAATCACTCGTTTATTGTCTCTAAAATACACCAGAGATGAATATTATAGAGAGTGTATTTTAGAGACATTAAACGAGTGATCAGAGACGAATAAAGTTAACAATATGCATAAAAATATTTTTATTATTATTTCAATTTCATATTTGAATTACTTCAATATTAATAAAATAGCTAATATAGCATTACCACGTGCAAATCTTTGTTCAAAATTGGTATAAAATATTTGTTGAGACTCAACAACTTATGATACAACTGTTCAAGTATATTTTATATATTTCTACAAAAGTCCAAAATATTATTTTTTGTTACCTAATTTTTGTCCAGCATTAACTGCTTGTTGTAAATTAGATTCCCAATAAGCTGGATCGCTGCGCAACTTATCTGGAGCAGTTGCTGATCCACCTAGACTTCTGATGACTTCGGAAATGACTTTACCATCATTCCATTCAGTCTACAGAAATATTATAATATATAATTGATAAAATTATTCAAAGCACTCAAACTATAATTAAATATACAATGCACAATTGTAAAATCTGACAAATAAAATATAATTCCATTATATAACTCATAAACAATTTTTATCAATAATTTAAATAATTTAAATAATGGATTTAAGCAATGTTATTCGTGAAAATAATAAATTTAATTTAGAAAAAAATTGATTTCCATTAAAAATAGTAAGGTTTCTCAAGTTAGTAATTTGTTAGAACAAATAATCATATTTGATTTTGATTTAAGTACTGACCGTGAATCCCCTGACAGGTTTATCAAGTCTGGAATTGACCCAGCGCAAAGTAGCATGAAATCCTGGACTGTCTGGTTTCATGAAATAAGATAAGTAAGTCATGCCTGATAATTCGTCTAGCCAAGGTGATGCTAGATATTCTGGTTCCAACACCATCGGGATGCCAAATTCACGATTTGCAATATTCATCGCCCTTCCGCAATTTTCGACAGATCTATTCGGATCTATAAAAATAATAGTTAAATTATAAGTAATTAATAAAATACCAGTAATAAGATTATTTTAGCTAAAATAGCAAAATCTCGAGCAACTGAATAATAAACGTATTGTATCGCAGTTCTACATCGAAATCACATATTTTGTTATAAGAAATCCAACATAATCACAAAAATGAATTATTATTCACGGTTTTGGTAAAATGTAGAAAAGTATTAATATTTTTAATATTTCTAAACTCCATACATTTTTTCTAGACTACCTACAAATAATATCACAAATTTTGTATTTCAAATCCGATCAAATTACTAGAGATAATATCAACTCACCGAGATCCCTCCAATGCGGCGCAAGTCCCGGTTTACAGTAATCTAGCAGAGCATGTAATAAAACTCCTGAATTCCAATCTGTAGTTAAATTATGTACTCTGCATTCCGGAAGAACTGCTTGTAACCAGGCCAACATCAGTTTTCTTGGTGGGAACTTGCTTCGGCCGATCTGGTAGCGCACGATCAGAGACCATATCAGACCTAATATCAGTTTTAGGTTGCCGTTGACAATATCCACGTTGCCTAAAAAATAAAAATGGAATAAAATTTCTTGGAAAATTGAAATATAAAATTCTTAGATTTTTTAGAAACAAATTTGCTGTTTTTGAAAATATTAAATTCTTTTTTATTAAGTTCTTTTCACTAAATGAGTCAATTGATATTATATAATACATAAATGCATTTGTCAAATGTAAACTATCGTTTTCAATTGTCAATATTCTTAACATATATGACTTATAAATATTCACATTAAATATCCATTTTCTTTAACTCTTACTAAAGATACAATAATATTGGCAGATGACTGCTCTGTCATTAGATTAATTATTATAATTGTGTTTTTCTATTGTTGTTTTACATTGCTCTTATATCCATTACGATAACAAAGAAAGTTTTTTTTTCTAAATGATCTTATACAAGATTCCAATTATTAGAAAATAAATTAACGCTTATCGTTAATAATAGAAAATAGAAATGTGAATGAAAGTTGCGGAACTCATAAAATCGTAAAATTAATTTTATATATCAAATACTTTAAATGTGAGCTGCTATCAAATTTATATGTATCACAAGTAGTAAAAAATCAAATTAATGAAAAATGTTTTAAGCACAAAAATATATAACCTAAAAAATAGTTGTACGTGTAGAAGTATTTTTTTTATATGATGATGTATATTTAATTTAACTTTTATTAAATCTCAAGTTAATTCTTATGTAATTAATATTTGATATTTCTCAAATATATTTTTAGATAAAATACCTATATTGACTAGTTTGACACCATCTGCTTCAATTGCAGCCAAAGCCGTTGTGACGTTCTCTAAATAATGATGCTGGTTTCCAGGACGTCTGTTCCATGACGGCTTAAGACGTCTACCTTGTAAGGCCTCGACTAAGGCGCAAAGACGTGTACCATCACACAAATCTTGAGATAAATCTAAAACCTATTCAATAAATAAAATGTAGTCACTCATTGCATTTAAGATATTGCATGAAAAATATTGAATTTCAGATTTTTGTATGTTGCAAAGAGCAAGTTATCATTTTTTTATGTTAATTGTAGTATATAATTGATTTGTATATAAATATATGTATTTGCATATAATAAAAATAATTTCGCTTTAGTTTAATCCATCACCTCCTTTAAGCATGATCACTTAACTTACAACCTTATGGTTATAATTTTTTTTTGTAGATTCTACAGAATATCACATTCTACGCTCTATATATAATATACCTCCTTCTATAATTAGTCTACAATATGTTACAACTTTATATAATTTATAAATAAAAGCTAATATAGGCTATCAAATACATTTATCTATAAATCCTTTTGCAATAGATATTGTATAAGAAATTTATCTTCGTACATTTGTAATATTGTTAATTGTTCGAACATTTTATATCCCGTTTTAATTGCTGTGCATAAATGTAATAGAAATGCAATATGAGTACATAGTTTAATTAAATATTTTATATGATGAAATATATTTGAGTAATACTTTGATTTTTTTAAAAGCCATTTTATGTAATTTTTTTGCATAGATTTATTGCCAATCAAAATAATATAATTTTGTAAGACAAAATACTAGGTGTGAATGCATTTAAGGAGTTTATCTCCTATGAGATCTTTTTTTTTTCTTTTTTTTACATTTTATTTAAGATCGTATGGCCATATTTAATGTGAAATGGATTTATAAATATGAACGAATAATTAATTTTTTCATTGCTTTGTATTCCTTTCAAAATTGTTATAAATTTTCTACTTATTTGAATTGTCATTCATTAATCAAATCAACAAAATATTTCAAAATGTAATAACTATTCTAGAATAAAAATTTAACTTGACTTTATAAAATAAACAATTTTTGCAGTAAAAATTTAACTTGACTTTATAAAATAAACAATTTTTGTGGTAATTCAATTATTACTCTAATTATAATTATAAAACTGTGTAATTATGTTAACATTATTATGATGTTTAGATGTTGGAAACACCCACAATTGTTTCAACTCAATTATTAAAACTATCAACACTACGAAATGACATTGTTTATGAGTAATTTGTCATAAGAGACTATTTAAGACAAGGCTACATCGGAATCATGATGGAGATGTTTACTTTAATAAATCTTTTCCGTATAAATTTGCATCTAATTAAATAAACAATTATATAAATTTAATAAAAACAGAACAAAATAAACGATAAAATGTTTAATAAAATGATATCCGTAGTATGTTGATTTAATATAAAATAAGCAAATGATAATAATAATAAAATTAATGAGTAGGATAAATAAAACTTCTGAATAAAAAAAATAATACTAGAAAAACAAAGTAGAATAAAAACAATAAGAAAAAGATAATAAATATAACAAAATAACAATATTAGAAATAATAAGATAATAATAATAATAATATGTGGTGTAATGTAATTCCTGTAACTTATATGCTATTATGATGTAATTCCTATAATTTTCCTAGAATTATTAGAATGCAAATCAGTGGTTATTCTGCCTATCTGTGATGAGATTACTATTTTTCTCTATAAGCAACAATATCCTAATAGGCTTCTTTGGATTTAATTAACATTTAGACCTATATTCACAAATGATAACATATCTCTACTGCTTAGTATCAAGCTTACCTAGACAGGAATGAAACGTTTAACCTGAAATTTTGTGGTTTTTCAAAGTCGGTTAAGTACAAAGCATTTTTTACAGATCTACGTCCAGCTCATATTTTTTCTCTCTATTGACTTTATAAACAAGTATAGGGTCCGCCAAATAATTCTTTTTTTCAATCCTTTCAGATAAAAATGAAATTAATTCATTCAATAATGATTATAATAATTTCATTCAAAAATGAAGAAAAAAGTCTCGGCTGAGCGTTGGCTGAGCGTTGAAAAAAAATGAAAATGAAAAATGTTAGATGGCATATCCTATACATTAACCTTTGCAAACAATTGTTATATAATACTTATAATTGTGAGCAGAAATTGCACATATTACTAGAAATAAATTTTAAGAAATAGAACTTACAAAAAATTTTGTATGTCCTTGAATATTCATAAGTTGTACATATTTTTTTATGTTACTTGACAAAATCGAGTAAATCTTGAGATGTATTGCAATATGTTAACCATTGTGTTCAATATTATCAAGAAAGTAACAATGTATATAAATAAAAGTTAAAGCATAACCAAATCAAAATTTTGTCAGTTACTATTATTTTCAAGCAATTTTTAAAGAGTATAAGGAGCATGTTTGCTCCTTATTTAAATTAATTGAAATAGTGCTGATTTCTATTTTTTAATTTATTGATGAATTTAAATAAACGTAAATAAATGTCAAATTTATTTAAATGTCGATTTATTTTTATTTAGTTCAACTGTAGGTAGTATCAGTTACTTTCTGTCTATTACTCGGTGTCCAAATTTGGAAATTTACTTCTGTGATTGAAAACAAAAAAAAGTGATTTGTCTGCATGCAAAACACGATGTGTGTTCATTATGAATTAGCGTGGCAAATCTACAGAATTCTTGTCTGAGTTATTCATGCCTATATATAGTTGGAGAAGAACGTCCTCTGTGGCACAAATATCGACGACGAAACAGCCGACAGTTCCAAGGTTAACACTAAATGTTTACGTCATTTCTTCAATAATACTACCATTATTATGAAGATGTAATACTTCATATTTTACGGCGAAATAATAGATATGTAGTATTGATAGTGCGCGAAATATTAGAACACTGAAGCAGGCAAAGTTATTGATAATGGTGCTTCAAAATGAAAACTGTTACACGACACACTAGTTTTTTTTTATTAAGTTATTATTATTTTGATTTTTTATTAAATTTATGTACTAATTATAAATATTCATATAAAAGTATGAAATTCTAAAAATTATGATCGTTTAGGAATATTGAGATGTCATGACTATTGTTTTCGCCTTCTCTAAAAACCAAAGCCAACTCGTGTTGCTACAGTTTATATATACATTTTTATAAATTTGGTTAATTATTATTTCATATTATTTTCTAATATTATTTAATGATACATAATATATTTGTTAAATAATTAGATGTTCAGTAATGTTTATTTTCAATATTCTGGTTATTTATCTACCTATTAACGATTATCTATCTATAAACTAAATAAACTTATTCATTTAAATAATTGCATTTAACTAATTTTTTAACAAATGAAAAAATGCAATTTTTATTTATTTATTAGTATAAAAAAACTTCTCTAAATCTAAACTTATCTGATTAGATAATGATGCTTCACAATTTTATAAAAATCTAAAAAAAATTTATGTATTCAGATGTAACTAGCAATATGTACAAAATCTTAAACAAATAAACCTTAGAATCTTTTTGTGTGTGAACGCAATTATAATAATTAATTTAATGTAATATAAATAATTTAATTATTATTTAGGTTATTTATTTACCTACAAACAATTTAATAAATGGTAGATTCTTATGTGCTCATGATTTAATTAAGTTTATTGAATTTACCAATAAATATAAAAATAAAAATTAGCAATATTTCATTTAACTAATGTAAACATGCATCTCATGTTCTTCAAAAATTACAAGAAAATACTTAAAATAAAAACATAATTATTCTATTTAGTTAATGATTATTTGAAAAAAAAGTAATGGAAGACAGCAAAAGTAAGAGGCGACAGCAGTAATCTGTTGAAGAGAATTCTGGTGGCAAAATATTCATCTCTACTGGTACAAAACCTTCCTTTTTATATAATATTTATGATCAAAATTAAAAAATACAAATGGATTTCTTTACCTCCATTTGTTATACCAAATACGCCAAACCTATTGGATATACATATCTAATATGAATAATTAACATAAAAACAAGAGGTGGACCACTGAGTTGCCCTCTTGAAAAACATACCTTAGGTACGTCATAAAATTAGCTTATAGAATACGTAGTTATGATCGCTACTCAAAAAATATTAATAAAAAAAAGTTCATTATTTTTCCAACAAAATTTAAAAGAACGTGAAATGATTAAACCAATGTTACCTATAGGCTATGATACGTAGTGCTTCTCACACAAAATGGTACTAAATTAGACATTATAAACATAAATTGCAGCTTAATTCATATGTTATTATACCAGCGGCGGACCTCCCTCCCCCTGAGCTTGTCTTAAGGCTTAGATAGAATACTAATACAGAAATAAAATTACTTAATTACATAAATGAGTAAATGAGTAAGCATTAAGTACTTTGTTACTAAACACATTTTATAACTTCAATAGACAAACGATTTTCTAATCGTAATGCAAATATATATTCTATACATAATTTAATTATGTGACCCCCCCTGGCATCAAAGCTGGAACCGCCACTGTATTATACCACAAAGATGCATTGTTTTCTAAACCTAACAGCATTGCAAACACATGGCATTTTGACAGAATTTAGTACCATTCTCTATGAGAATAAGCGCTAATCTAACATATCATCTATGTAACATTGGTCTATTTTTCTGCAGAGTAAGCGCCCTAGTATATTAAATAATATTTACGATTCTTAATACAGTAGTCATTAAAAATCTGCTTAATATATTTAGCTCAGGTTTGTCACTTATACTCCAAAAGATGTCGGAGTCTCCAATAAGTTCTGTATATATTATGAAATTTGTTATTAAGGGACATTTGGGGAATATTCCTACTCCTGAATTTTTAGATTTTCCTGAGTGAATTGTTTACAATAAAATGGTTTAACATAATAATATAAAAGTAAATTATCCATATCAATAATTGTAAGCGTCCGGCGCAATGTTTATTAAAAAAGTCAATTAAAAATCACTACACACGGACTCTTTACTACCTCGAAGGACCAGATATAATTTATTATTAGAATGGCTATATCAGACCTTTAAAAATAAGCAAGTTAAATAAGTTGGTTTAGTTATCAATAGTATTTATTTGTTTGATGTTCACGGTTCAAGTAATGCGTACAGAATAAGGATGAATTTCTTAAAAATTATCTTAGTACCTAGAGTAGTGTAGGAAATTATTTTATTATAGGGCAGAGGGAGTTTAGTATATAGATGTAGTATATAGGGAGATGGATTAATAAAAATTGTGAGGCTCGAACAATAATTATCGAATTATTACTATCAGCCTTACCTTCATATTCTCCGATCGCAGATGTTCATTGACCCAATTTCTGAACGTGTTTCCTTGTATCTCAACCCACAAGTCCTCGTTGCCTTTGATGTTCATGCCCTTAGCGGCGGTTCCCTCCGGGCTGCGGGCCAAAAGACCCGCGTGGCTTATCTTCTGCGACGATCCGTCCATTTCGATTCGTTTTAAAATTATTCGACAAATTTATTTCAACAAACACAACCGTTATTGCTGTTCGACATTGTTCGAATCAAGGCTAAACTCGTATTTTCGAGTAATCGATATTTCACGTTCGATCTTTAATAAGTAATCAAAAATAACTGTATAATTATATAATATTTTATAACTGCACAATAATAAGTTAATTGAGGTGATAGATAATTTTATATTTGGTTTATAGTAGTATTTTGGCTTATTTTACTTTACTGGTTTTGACTAGATACGAAATTTAAAGATCTATCGCTAGGTGACTATTGCATGTTTCCGGATCATGTTTCTGAAACAACATAAAAACTAATTAATATTTTATATAATTAAAATAAATATTTGCATAAAAGTAATCATGGAGTAATAATTTAAACATTATAAACATATAAATAGTTTTAATTATTTTCCAATTTAGTTTGAATAATTTGTAATCAATTAAAAAAACGTTGTATGTTATCAACGTTAAGTTAATTAATTTTGTATTTTTGATCATTATCTAAAGTAAACTTAAGAGGTATTTATATGAAATTTTAATAAAAACTTGCTTCCAAATCTCCAGAGATACTATGTAGTTTATTTATATGCTTGGCCTCGAACTTCTTGTATAATTTTTGTATTTTTATTACGTGATGTCATGAGAAATATAAAACAATGTTATGAAGATTATAATCATTTAATATGTATGAATGCAAAAAATTTAATTTGAAGAGAATAATTGAAATAGTTTTGCAAATAAATAGATATAAATTATGAATATAAATACTATTGTATAAATAAATAATTTTTTTCTCTGAAAAATACTTTTTTTTTTTTGTATCATATAACAATCACAGTTGTTTACACACCCTATGAGTTGTTTGGCTAAATTACACATAATAACAATAATAAGAAAATAATGAAAATAATAATAATAATAATCACAGAAAGAAAAAAAACGAAAAAATTAATTAATTAAAATAAAATTAAAAAAAATAATAATAAATAAATAAATAAAATGAATTACAGATAAAGAAAAAAAAATGAATTTAATCCAAAATTGATATTGCTATTTAAGAAGAACTAAATGAAATTAAAAAAAATACAATAAAGAATATTACAGATTATTAAAGGTATATAAAAATACATAACTTGAATAAAGAATACAAAGCCAAGGAAATATAAAATATAGGTTGTAAATGAAAAAAGTAAATGAGAAAAAATATTTTTTCATCATATGAGTTAACTACAGGCAAAAGTAGAAAGTTCCGATATAAGATATAATCTGTTATGGCTAAGAAAACATCTGAAATTAGGATTAGTTTGAGTTTAAGTCGGTAACGATTAAATTTGGTCAGTCCCTATAAAAGGTTCTATAAAAATTGTGTAATATATATGTATATATGCATAATTTTCATTTATTTAATATTGAAATATTTTTTAAATAAAAAAATATATTTTTATATGAATTCAACGTACAATTTTTGTTACAATTTTATTACTTGCATGTATTTTATCAGTTTTTTTTTAAATTTTATGAGTACTTTAGCTTGCAATTCGATTTTTTGGAAATAGGCCATATAAACAAGTTTCTATTTAGGCAAATATTAACCTTTTAGACATCGGATTGACAAACTGTGTGTACGACCGTCGTCTATAGACGCCACCTAGTGTATCGACTTTTGCTTCAAGATTTTTCACTTTGAGTTAAATTATTGAGGATTGTAATTTGTTATTGTAATTTTTAGTTTTCTAAAAGTGTAATTTCAAATTTTGATATCTATGATCATTCAATATGACTTTTTTCAGTATTAGAATTACCTAAATGATTTTCATTTGATTTAAACTAATTTGTATTTTAATAATATAGTCATTTACAGTACTAGAATTGTCGAAATGACTTCTATTCATTTCATTTCTAAATTAATATGGATATTTTTAGTACTAGAATTGCCTGAATGATTTCTATTTGATTTAAATTAATTTGTAAATTAATAACATGGCTTTAAAACACACAGAAATTATTGTGATAAATATTATATCGATAGGTGAAGATTCACTCCTATAAGTGGTCCATTATACAAAGTTCAGATCATTGTAAATAATTGAGAAGTTTTAAAATATATTTTGTTACAAATGCATGGGCGGATTCCTGGATTGTGCAGCAGTGTCAGTAGTGGCACTTAGTGGAGAACACTCTAGTAGAAAAGTTAGAAATAAAACTTAGTCCAGTTTTCTGAATACAGTTTTATGAACTTATTGCTTCCCTGTTCATTTAATGATATATAGGCTCGACCGTAGGTAAGCGAATCAGAGGTCCCGGGTTCGATACCCACTTTGAGCAGCCTGTTGTCAGGCAGCAGTGACAACGATTTTCACTTGGAAATATAGATAGCAATATGTTTTCAAGTGAAAATAGCCCTTGCCCGGCATTGCTGCACCAATAAAAAGTCAGCCCTATTAGATTAATTCTAATAACAAAAATCATCAAATATGGATGGATTAACCATTGGGTTACCATCTAAAAAAAAATACGATGTAAGGAGAAGTTTCAGCCCAACAGCTCATAGGACGTAAGGTTCTGATTGCTGTTAAAAATATATAAAGAAAAAAAAGATATATAAATAAAGTCTATCAATTATTCTGCCCCTCCACCTCCGGCCGTGTCGCGAAATACGTCACCTCGTTGCACAACACGTCCGCGACGGCGCTGAATGTCGATGACCATGAACGGCGCTTTATTGCAGGCGGCACGACGCTGTATCATTATACCATAGGACAAATTGTGGGCAGACTTAGATATTTTCCTCGAGTCGAATGCAAACATACCGATCATGCGTGTGGGATAATTAACAGGCAACGCCTACAAATTTCGACTAAAAATTATGATAAACGATGACTGAATGCCATTGATGGCTATGTGTTCATGAGTTCATTCAATATCAGCTGAAATTATTTATTGAAGTAAATATTTGATGTTTAAACAGAAACGTAACCCCAAATCATTCATGGAAAAAATGATCGATACATTTGTAGAAATAAATAATTTGAAGGTAGTAATGATATGACGAAGGCAAATTATGATGCAAAGGGTTTGATAAATATGGCGTTTTTAATGTTTATCTATGACCGTAATGGTAACAGATCCGATTTGCATGTAAAAGTACTCCGATCGAATCTCGGAACTGTGTACAAATATCGCTCATAAAAATTACTACCTGAAACAGAATATATATCATTTTTTTTGTCAATCAAAACTTTAGATGTTAATTCTAATTATTCTAGTAATATGGAAATTATTTCTTTAGTTAATAAATATATGTAAAAATCAATTTATTATATAAAGAGAGAAAGAAAAAACAATATAAAAAAGATAGTATAAAGTATATAAATAAATTTAAATGTTCCAATGCTCAAACTAAGCAAAAAAATAATACAATGTTTTTTTTTTTAAATTTTAAAAAGTATACGTGATTTTCCTATATAAAGATATAGTAATAATTATGTTTACATATCTTCATATATACAACAAAATAGAACTGTTCTTAGAATATCAGCCAGTTTTGCCTTTGGATTCAAATCGCGTACCGATTCAACAAGGTAATCGACATAGATAGATAAACATTTTATAACTACATCGTAGTACAAATCTTGATTTAATGAAAAATGCCTGAATCAGAAGAATATTTTACCCTGTTTCTTGAAAATAATAAAACAAATTAAACATTTCTACTAATCGTAAGTTTATTGATTAGAAATTATTTTTATATTATTCGTAGTTTCTATAAATCTTTGAAGTCATTAAAAGGGAAACAATTTTTTAGGCAAGACAGATATTGCAGCTGTTCAAAGAATGAGATTATATCGCCAGCAAAAAAGTAAAAAAAAAATGCAAGCAGTCAATGAATACATGTTAATTTTAATTACATGAAGTTCTTCAAACACAAATATTATATGATGAAAACAATATTTGTTTAGGAGTTGTTTAACATAATACACTGTGTGAACGAATATTATAGAAGTTATTAATCAGCAATTACTTCATTTTTCTAATGAAGGTTCATTTCTAAATGCTAATTACAACGACAAACCGATCATGTCATATTTGAAGTATAAAGCCATACTTATACACAATATATAAATGTGTATAATGGTTGACACTAATAAATATGTGCATCACGAGTGTTACCATATTACTAAGAAACATTATTCAAAATTGTTATGATGTATTTATTTTTACTTAAATGCCATCTTGTACAGTAGCAAATAAGTTTTACCTCAATCGCGTATGAACCTTAAGGCAAACTCTTTTTTTATATAAAAGTACCCAAGATCTATTACAATACGTTAAATGACTTAAATCTAATTATTACCTATCTAATCATACCGTACGATACCTAAGACCATCAGTTCCTACGTTGATATATAAATCTATTACCGCTTCATCATTATTTGCTATTACGCTATTATATATAACATACACCCTACATATCTTTTTACCCCTTACAACGCTTAACTACCATTTACACGCTATATTTTACTCTCACTTATTATCTACCGTCTCTATCCTATACTATATTTTTTTTACTCTTATCTGTTATCTATTGTCTATACCCTATACTCTATTGTCTATCGCTCACACCGGGAATTGAACCCGGGACCACCGCGTGGCAGTCTAGCGCCTTGACCACTACTCTATTGGGTCCCCCACAAATAATATAATAAAGGACGCACTGTTTTTCCGCGGTACCTTTACCTTTTAATTAAGTAATTAATACTAAGGTGACGCGACGACACGCGGAAAAAGGCGACCAATCACAGCGCCACGGTGGCGTAGTGGTTAAGGTCGTTGCGTGTCACGGGGGTGACACGGGGGAGAGGGCTCGGGTTCGATTCTCGGTAGGGTTCGGAAAAATTAGCGTTTAAGAAATAGTATAGGTGTAAGATAAGAAATAATATTGAGCGTATTACGTATATAGGGTTAAAGGCGTATTAGGCGTAGTATATAGTTAGTTAAAAGGCGTATAACATAGAATTTAAGGTTTAGGCATACGTGAATATGGTATAGGTATCTTATAAGAAATTCATGTTATATGATAATCGTTAGCAGAATTTTGATACGGGTACTTTATAAAATGCATTTTTATCCATATATCAACTCTTTGAATATTATTTTCAAGGTCGCCGACACCGCCGACGCCTAGCGTCGCTGCTGTATATATAGGTTCCCAGACAAAAACACAAATTGCTCTCTCAGGCAATGAAATCAAAGTTACATAACCCAAACTCGTTTCTTGTAATTATCAGGTTTTA